TGGGTCTGACTGTTCGTCTACCAACGACTGGGCCTGCGCCAGCTCCATGCTAAAATTAGCACAGTCCCACGCTATTTTTAGCATGGGTCTGACTGTTTGTCTACCAGGGACTGGGCCAGCGCCAGTCCCGTGCTAAATTAGCACAGTCCCACGCTATTTTAGCATGGGACTGACTGTTCGTCTGCTGGGGACTGACCGTTCATATCCCAAGGTCGGGACTGCTGCTATTTTTAGCTCAGGCCCGGTCTAAAGTTTGACCACGGCCCCGACCATGGGACTGCTGCATCAGCCCCGATCACTTGGCCTCTCCATTATAAAAGAGAGGCCACGTCACCCAAGAGGGACAGACCAAGAGGAGCTCATTTGGCAGAATGCAGAGACGCTGGCGGGACGGCAAGGAGGAGGGATTGAAGCTGCTTGCGCTGGAGTAGCTGGGAGAGCAAGACTGAGGCAGGCAAGAAGGAGGTAAAGGTGTTATGAACTTGGTTGTTTGACAATTGCTTGCCACTCACACACCGAAATACTCACGCACGCCCATACATGCATGAGAGACAGGGGAGGAAGAGACAGAGTTCACCTGCACATAGACCAGAGATAAACAGCGGAATAGCAACCATGCACAGATGGGGAGAATACACACAGTGTTCTCTCTCTCTCTGATGAACTCCCAACAACCAATCACAGAATGACACTGCGAAGATCACAATTAGAAAGTAACCCAGATGATGAGCCAACTCGACACAATTAACCCCAATTATCGTTCCAGAGTTCAACCCAGTATCTCGCCACTCAAGTACCACACACTCTACTCACTACTTCACTCTCAGAGTCTAGCGCTGCATAGAACCAGCCTCCCAGAGACCAGCGCCATACACCCAGATGCAGATCATGAATAGCGAAGTAGTTCTCAGTGCCGAAGAGTCACTCTGACGATGAAGAAGGCAGCTATGGCTGCCCGGCTGCTACCGCAGCACTAGTACCCACATGTACTCAGTGAAGAGCCCTGATGTAGTCCTGCCAACGCAGATATCCCCCAGGGATAGATGCGCTGAGTACAGCCCCAGCTATGGCTGTCTCAGGTAGGCGGCTATGGCTGCTTCACGGCTGCTGAAACCTCAGGTGCCGCTGTAGGTCTTCAGCGCTGCTCACTTCGTTGGCCGCAAAACGCTGCATGTGAAAATGAAATGCCAAAAGTCCTGAATCGATTTTCCCCCAGGACTTATAGACTCTCTACTCTAGCCTAGACCTAGACCGGACTGACTGGACCTACCGGTACCGCTGCTGTTTCGGCCTCTCGGCCTCTACCGGACCCGGCTATAGGCTATAGGACCGTATAGCAGTATAGGCCGCTTAGGGCCTCTGTCCTAGGGTAGCCCGGGCCTGCTATAGGCAGTTAGGGTAGCTGTAGGAACTCGGTTAGTACCAGTTCTGTATTTTTCAGAAATTACAGATCTGTCCCTCACGAATTTCCACACAGGCGGATCTCTCGGTTAGCCCTCAGCCAAACAAAATTACAAAACTAACCCTACCGGTTAGTATACAGCCTCGCAGTCAATCTCGGCAGCAGAAATCAGCAAGTCATTGCAAAGGGGTGGGGCTGCAAGGGGAAAGTAAGGCGGCCTGGCTCTCACTAGGTCATTCTGCTCTCCTCTCTACCTTCTCTCCTACCTTCTTCATTCTGCTCTTTTGCTCACTCTCTTGCTCTTTCCTCCCCTGCTTTTCCTTTGGTCAATCAGTCTTCTGTTGAGTGAGTGCCGGTGAAACATTCACAGTAAGTGTTGTTGACACTCTTCGTTCACCCTCCCTGTACATGAGGGTTGAAGACATCACGCACCCTTGCTTACCATTCTTGAGGGCTGATGACACTGCGTGATCGCTGTACTTAAGGGCTATTAATGTCGCGCCCTCTCTCGCGCCGTGTCTGGAGATTGTCAATGCCATGTGTTCACGCCTGCCATCCATGCTGATTGGCTGTGCCGAGAGGCACTCAAACTGAGTGTGCCAATTTATTATGCCAAGAAGCCGCTCTAATTAAGTCTGTTGATTGGCTGTGCCGAGAGGCACTCAAACTGAGTGTGCCGATTTATTGTGCCAAGAGGGCGCTCTAATTAAGTCTGTTGATTGGCTGTGCCGAGAGACTCAAGCCGAGTGTGTCGATTTACTGTGTCAAGAAGACGCTCGAATTAAGTCAGATGATTGACTATGCCAGCAGGCACCTGAACAGAACAATATGATTGATTGTGCCAGCAGGCACCTGAATAGAGCATTATTGATTGTGCCAGCAGGCACCTGAACAGAGCATTATGATTGACTGTGCCCAAAAGCACTTAACTGAAGTATGCCGATTTACTGTGCCAGAGAGAACTTATTTTGAGCATGTCAGTTTTGAGCATCCAGTGTCCCTGCGACTGTGCGCATTTATGAGCGACACTGCGCAAATCATGACTTTTAATAAGTGCAATCTCGAGTAACTGCCACTGTGCACACTTGAATTCGAGTGTGACATTGCGCTTTTGACAGCAAACTCGGCTTTAATGGTCTTGGGTGCGGTGCTGTGCCGCCAATCTGTAAACCTCGCCATGTCGATTCTTGAGGATAATGTCCATGCTTGAGGGGCATATCTGAGCTGTGCGGTGTGCGCACCACGCTTGAGGGCCATATCTGAACCGTGCGCCGTGTGC